GGAGAAAATTTAGGATGGCAATTTTGTGATACTAGGAAGAGATAAACTTTTCAAAAACTGACATGAAATTAACCACAGTTTCAAGCTTCAAAAAATTGCATTATTTTACAAGAACATATATTATGTGCCTAGTTTACATTCCTCCTGTTCAGTTCTGATTTATGTATGGCTATTAACACATATTTTAGTATTCTGACTTATTGGGCACTTTTTGTATTCTTTTTTCTCTTTTCTTTCTAGTAGAAAAAATAAGGCACATAGAAATAAAATTACTTGGCTAACAAGTATGGAGCTATGGAGATATCTGCTGGAATTCAGGAGCATTAAACACCTTTTCAAATACATGGACTTGATGAAACCAATTCAAAATTCACAGAGACTAGCCGGGGCATCTAGGTGTCTGGGGTTTATTTTCAATACTCATGTTTTTCATCCAAAATTTATATTTCAGTTCAGAAAAATAATCACCATCACAACAAAAATAAACACCAAGAAGGAGAAAAGACTAAATCCTTTTTCTTTCTGGAGAAAAAAGAGGAGAAAGGTAATAAGTTTTTTCTACAAGAGAACACACTTAAAGCTACTGTGAACAGGCGCATTGACGAGCATGCTGATCTTGGAAGAAAACAACTTTAAATGCCTAAAACTTCGCTGTCAGAATTGGGTAGTAATCTGTTGAAGAAGTCACTTCTTGCAATTTAATGTTCCAGTAATTGTTCCATAAAAAGACCCTTGAGCCGCTGTATGAAGGAAATGGTCTAGACAGCCACATTCCAAGAATGTGCCCTTGTATGTGTAGCTGATTGAGTTTACACTCTCGTCCTGATTCACAAAGAGGAGCCAGTGTGCCAGTGGGCCAGGGGCCAGGATGTGGGTGGTTAAGTAAGTGCTTTTGGAGGGAGTGGCGTTCTGGCAACCACATCAGCACACCAGCTGATCAACAAATGCAGAAGTTTTGAATGAAATTGGACAAGAAGATAAATTGGACATGCTCTTTCCAGGATGTGAAGGGTGGACATCCACTGACTTTCAAAAGTTATCCAGATTGTCAAATCTCGAGGTAATTCTGACTATCAAGGTTTCTCTGTGAATTGCACAGGGGGAAGACTTGTCTACACCGATTATACATAGGAAATTTGCAGCTATACACACTATACTGTATTTTCTAAACTACCTGCACAATTTGATTGCACTTACATAACTACCACTTATTGTCAGATGGGAGTGTCGAAATGGGGAGAGGAAATAATCTAGAAGTTTCTAGTAGATTTGCAGTACATTAGAGAAAAAGAGACTCCTGCCAATTTTCTCCTAAATTCATTTGCAAAGAACCTTAAATCTCACCTCTTTCATGAAGAATTTCATTGCTTAATGAAAAACAGTTGGCAATTTCTCCACACCCAAATCTGTTCAAATTCATTTCCCCTGATTATCTGTTTGCCTTAACACAGTTTATTTAAGGGAATGTACTATTTTCCTACAAGTAATGTGTTTTATATTCAAGATGTATGATCTCATAATAGCCTATTTTTCGTACTGAAGCCTAAATTTGAGAAAGGAAAATTATTAAAATGTTTATAGAATTACTTCCCTAAAATTCACACTTTTTCCTAGCAATAATGCTACTGCTATCAGCTTCAGTAATGCAAAATTCTTTTCTTTATCAGGCTAAAGAAAGGATTAAATTTTTAAAAAGATGATCTGCCAGCTTGCCTCATGCTGGTACTGAAAAAGGAGAAAACCAAACAAGCAAGCAGAGCTCGCCTTTTGCAATTATGCCTCTTGTCTGCAGGCCATTGTCCCTCATCCCCTTCTTTTTCACGTTTGTCTCTTCTGTTGTGGTAGATATTACTATTGTGCATCCTATCAGTTTCCCCTTTACTCCCAAAAACACAAAAGTTTACACTTTCTGCCTCTGAAAATTAGGCATATGACTAGGGACTATAAAATATGAACATAAGTAAAGAAAGGATGGGAGAAATGGCCCCCATGGCTAACATTATTCACAACGTAGAATTGTCATGATCAGTCTCTAACTTCCCACAGTCATGATGATATCAGTGTATCTCCCTTGTACCTTCAGTTCCCGAAGGATGGATCATACAACATATCAGAGTTCAGAGACACAGAGCCACTAGGTGTCAGACAAATGATAATTACATAGATACATAGATAGATAGATAGATAGATAGATAGATACATAGATACATAGATACATAGATACATAGATACATAGATATAATAGAAAAAGAGAGATATAAAGATATTTATTACAAGGAATCAGACAAGCAAAAATGAAGGCGGTTTAAGCAGTCTTTGAAAGGTTTTTGTTTACAGATAATGCTGCATCTTGAAGTCTTCATGCTGGACAGTCATGAAAGGAACACGAATGTAAATTGAAAAGGAACAAGAATAAGTAAGCATCACAGCACAAGCCAAAATCGTCTTCCAAAATACCTGAAAGCCACATCAGGTTTTGTTTCCTCTGACCTGGGTGATAATATGAAGGTAGACCCCAAAAATGTCCTCATGCTGAGACATGTGAATGTGTTCTGTATGTACCAGAAGGGAATTAGGGTTTCAGATGGAACTGAAAACAACTAGATTGACTTGATGTGTGAGAGTGAAGTTTTATATAAGTAAATGATAGAAACTGTCTCAGCTTCATTATATCTAAAAAGAAAGCTGAAATGTATACCATGTGAGTCTGGTTTGAGTAAAAGTTTGACTTTTAAAATAAATATATATTTATTTATATATACTTTTATATATTATATATGAATAAAATATATATTCATATGAATATATAAATAAGTATATTTATATATTTAATTGATATGTATTATATATTAATAAAGTATATATATTTTATTCATATATGATCCCAGGCAGTAGCCAGAACCAATCATTAATATTAATTGTTGTTGTTGGAAATCAACTTTAGGATAGGACACATATCCTGACTTTTCTAGGTGGTCCAATGTAATTACAGGATTCCTTCAAAGTAGAATAGGGAGTGAGAAGAGCCAGGGTCAGAACAATGCCCGTGGGGAAAACTCCATCGTTCATTTCTGCCTTTGAAGACAAAACTAAAAAGAGATCATGAGGTAAAGGACGCGAGAAGTGTCCAGAAGCTGGAAAAAGCAAAGAAAATGGATGCAGTTCTATATGCCTCTAAACACGAAGGCAGCCCTGCAGGCTTTTTGACTGCATCCCAGTGAGACACACATCAAATAGGTCTCATCTGCAGCACTGTAAGATGATAAGCCTCCTTGATTGTTATCATTTGTTGTAGCAGGAACAGAAACTTAATTTCAGAGTTCTGCAGAAACCAGGCCTCCTTCCCAGAACTGTACATCAACAGGGAAAAAGGAGTTAGAGGAGCTGAAGAAGTTGGAAAATGCAGAATTCAGAATAGGAGTCTCAGCGCCCACTTCTCTTCATGATGGGGTAAAACCACAGATGAGCATCATATGTATGAGCTACAAAAGACCAGCTACCTCTCTGTCACTTTCTAAATCTCCTGAGAATCTCAGCACTCTGTGAAATTTGGTTTAACCTAACTAAATCAACACATAATAAAGCTATCACTGATATCCTCTATGCCACTGACATCACCTTAGAAATTTTTCCTTCTTTTATTTATTTATTTATTTATTATTTTTTTGGGGGGGGGGAAATTAATGTCAGACTGATCACTTTAGAAATTCTTTGTTGTTGTTTTACTTCTTTTAAACAGAGTTTTGCTATGTTAATCTGGCCTTGAACTCAAGATTCTCCTTCAACTTCCCAAGTACTGTCCATACAGGTGTAGCATTAAAATGATTGATTATATTCAGTGACTTTTTTTAGAATATGTGTACAAAGCAGGAAAAAAAATTTCATGATTCTAGCATATTGTGTGCAAGTATCAATATGTACTTTTCCTAAATATTTACTTGTGCAATTACTTTAAAAAGATTAACATTCACTAAACCAGCAGCAGGTTTGTAATGAGGACCTATGGAATTTCATACTGTACTGAGCATTTTATAGAAATGCCTGGTTTCCTACAAATTGTTTTATTCTATATTTAATTAAATTAATGAAAGATCTAGTATGCTTATATTGCAATTTTAGAAAGTTAGTAAAGTTCACAGAACTCCCGAGATCCGGCCATGGAGGGACTCAGGCAGCTTATTCACTCACCCCTCTTGGTAAGTGCCTGCAGTGTGGGCCAGGAGGAGGACCATTACCTGTGAGCCTACTGCCACGTGGGCTGAAAATCAAGCACCCTTCCCTCGCCCTCCCCCTCACCCCATAGCTACTGGGGATAGCTGTCTCAGCATCTCTTGGGAGGATGTCCCTATGCAGTATAGCAAATGGGCGATTTCCTTCTATCTTCTGTTTGAAGGCTTAGGTTGTTTTCACTGTTTTGTTACGTTTCTTTTGCTCTATTCAGTATTCTCAATTGGTTTTATAATGTTCTATTTTTGGTTTGATTTTGCTATACCTAATTGGACAACTATTGTGAATATAAAGAGATATATCATAGTACCTATCACTACTATCCCAGTATCCTACTGTGAAATCCTGTACCAGTTTCACTGCATTGTCTCGATTGGCTTTGTTCTGTCTTGTGCTGTTGCATTTTTACTATTTTTAAAATAAAATTGTTAAAAAAAGAAAGTTAGTATAGTTCTTAAATAGAGGTAATATTTCTAGGTTTCAGTACCCTCTCTGACCTCATCTGGTTTATCTTGAAAAATTATCTTATTTCTCTGAAGTATAATTGCCTTATCTGTAAAATAGAAATGACTTCATCAGCCATCTTCAATCCCATGAAACTGATAACTAAATTATCTACAATTTTCTGAAACCAAAGGGAACATCATGGAAAGAATTCTTGCAATAAAGTTTTTTAACTGCTTGACGTATTCAGCCTCTGCCAATGAAAAAAACAACCACAAGAGTAACCACATCAATAGCAACCATCAAGATCTATTTCTTTAATAACTTACCTAAGAAGAACCAGTAAATACCTTGAACAAGATAAGCTTGCAGTCCTCACACGAATCACTCATAAGCCTTTTAAAAACATGGAAAGGAAGCTAATTCTTCCTTAACCTGAAAAATAGGATACCAATATTAAAAGGACTGAATAAGTAGTAGATCAAAAGAATGAACTCTCTGAATCTTCATTGTTTTACAGTGAACCGTACTGGCCTCAATCAGTACTTGTTTGATCCGCAGTCTGAGAAACGCAAATTTTGACTGTAAAATGTATTAAGAATATAACTTATTTTCCATATGTGTTATCCAAGAGAAAGAAAAAAATAGAAACGGCTGTGAAAACATTAAAAAAATGTGGCCACATTAAAAGAGTAAGGGACAAAAGGATAATCATCCCCCCTCTCAACTCCTCTCCTAAACATAAGTGCTCCAAAAGTCCCCTTCACCAGACAGCTAACCCAGCTGAGAGAAAAGAGCCAACTCGATTTCAAATGTGAGAGTAATTTTTTATTTAAATGAAAGATAGATACAGTCTCAACTTCATTATATCTAAGAGGGGAGCTCAAGTGTTCAACACAGGGGTCTGGTTTGAGTAAAAGTTTGTCTTTTTGGATAAAAATCATATGTAATCCCAAGCAGTGGCCTGAGCCATTTGCTAATACTAATTGTTGTTGGTTGAAAGCAGAGTACAGGATTGTTAAAGTCTTCCCTGGCAGAAACCTGATCTGTGGAAATGTACTTCACAGGAACTGTGATGAAGTTTGCAGCTGGCAGAATGGTATGACAATGTGGCTACATCGGCCTCCATCCACCCTTTGGCTTCAGAATTGAAACTCACATGAAAACGACTCAGCGAAAGAGATGATGGCCCAAAACACAGATCTGGCATTCTTTTTCTCCCTAACCTCACCCCAGCCCAAGATTTGACAACAAAAACTGATGCGGGTGTATGTGCCGTTTCTGAGAGCATGTATTTTTCAAAAATTATTATTTAATGATGTGACTGTTTTGAGCTATATTTAATGTAAGTACATTGAAGGTATAACATTGGAAAGTTAGAAAGCCACCAACTAAGGCCAGATGTACAAAATGAATTGATGTTTTAGTTTAAAACACCAGCACCACATTTAAAGGTTGTTATGAGCCATTTCACAAAGAAAACACACAAAAAGTGTTTACCTGTTATCCCAGGTACCTAAAAATAATTTCCCTTTACAATTATTATTAACTAATCCATACAAGGTCAAAATAAGATGATTGTGTTAGTTAAAAGTTTAAGTTATAAGAGTAAACCTTTGATATTATTAGATATGATAGTATTTGAGAATTCCATAATGCTCCGTTGCAATATAAATTAATTTGTATTTTAAATTGTCGTGAGACATATAAAATTGTTATAAGCTACTATGACATTCTTCTTCGATTCAGCTGTTCTTCACTATTACAAACACATTTCTCCAACCCACCCCCACCATCAACACTGGAAAAAACTAGGCATGAACCTGTCATTTCAGTTTTACTGGGCGTTACTGTGCCTCCTCCCAGCCTATGGAAACCGATATCTGAGCGCTTTTCATTTGAAAGAATCAACTTTTAATATTATGCAGATATTCTACATGCACTTTACATACCAAAAAGGGATGCATGCCTTTGCTATCCATATAATTTTAAGCATTTATTCAGTATAAACACCTGTGTATAAGTCCTTTCCACGTTTATTAAAATTATACCTCTCAATACTTTTGTTTTTCAACAAAACTTTCACTAACACCATTTCACAAAGAAGGAAACACAGGCCCAAAAATCTTGAGCAGAAATGGGGTGCCATACTGTGCCTTCTGATCATATGGTAAGGAGAAGAAAGCCACAATTACAGATCCTGGTTTGAAAAAGGTATAGAGTAGTTTGTTCTGTGAAAGAGACCTAAAATAAATTACATTTTTTACTTACATAGAAAGAAGACTCTATGGTTTATCAATCACTTATGAGATGTCAGTCAAAGGTATTACAAATTATAGCCTTATGAAAATGTTGTCACAGACACATAAAATAAACTTGTCCTGATACCTGTTTAGAGCTCTTTAGCTCTAAATTTTTAAGAAGAAAAATATTTTGTCTTTTCAGGTTAATGTGTTTTTAACCACATTGTTTAAACAAATTATATTGTGTACGTTTTATCCAATAATATATTGTTGTTTTTAAACAATTTTATGAAGATGGCTCCTTAACCTATCTTTAAAAATAACTTCTAGGCCTGGTATGGTAGCACATGCCTGGAATCCCAGCACTCAGGAGGCTGAGGCAAGAGAATTGTTGCAAGCTCAAGGCCAGCCTGGACTACAAAGTGAGTTCAAGGTCAATCTGAACTGCAGAGTGAAATTGTGTCTCAAAAAGAAAAAAAAAAAAAAAAAAAAACCTTCCTATTTCTATATAACAGGTAATTTTACCTAACAGAGCAGTGGTTTGCAAACTGAGTCAACTGGGAAATTTTTTAGATGTTTGTGCTAGAAATTCTGATTTAATTTCTCTGGGGTATGGCTCAGGCATCAGAATCTTTTTACATTCCCTTGCAGAGTCTAATAAGAAGCCATGATTGAGACCCACTCTCATGACTAGCTGATTCACAAACTGAGAAATACTCTAAGCAATGCCAAATTTATTGGGTAGTGCAATGTCTGGGGTTACATCTCTCTAGTCCTGTTCCCAGGTTTTTTGTTGTTGTTGGTTGGTTGGTTGGAATTTTTGTTTGTTTTTAGAGTAAGTAAAATGGTTGCTCTTTAAATATTGCCTCTATAAATCAACTTAAATAAACAATGTCCCCAGATTTTCAATGGGATATACTGTATTTTAAATTGTCTTTGAGAAATTTTATGTGTAGAAAAACAACTCATTTTATAAGCAGGAAATATAATCTACAATTCTCACTGCCTCTGATAAAATTTCCAGTAATCTAAAAATGTGTGCATCCTGGAGAACACAAAGCACACGGACACATCTATTGCAGCAAAACATTGGCCTGATTCTTGAATCAATAGATAGTGCTTCTGTGAGTTCACTGGGCTTGTGCACTACAATGAAGTTAGCTCCTTGGCACCTACACAACAGTGACCAAGTCCCCTGACATGGTTGACAAGATCCTGCGGGTTCCGGCTCCTGCATACTGTGTCTCCATTCCTATGCCACCTTCTCACTTGCTCCTTTTCCTTCACTCTCTGCTTCTCCTGCCCTGAGAAGCCATCTCGTCACACACTGCCTGTGCTACACTAAGCCCACCAGGGTATCACTGCTTATCACATTCTCAGCTCTAGATCTACACCATAAGCGTCATAAAGGAGGATCCCACGTCATATGTATCTTTTCACTCCTAGCAGATTTTAAAAACTTTGACTTATGAGGTGATTACTGTACAAAATCCATCAGATACTTGATCTAGTGAACTACAACCATGGTTATGACTTGAACATCCAAATTCAAGTCCATTTTTTTTATATTAGTCACAGAAAAAGAAGAACACAGAAGTGACTATATCTTTAGATAGCACCAGTATATTAAAACACTGAAATTAATTTGCATTGTTAAAGTTAGCATTTTAAGGACTTTCTTAGCAGAGTATTAAATGATGTGTACCAAGAAACAATTTGTTTTAAGAAGTAGCTACTTGGGGCTGGGGATTTAGCTCAGCAGCATAAGCACCTGCCTTACAAGCAGGCAGTCGTGAGTTCGATCCCTGGTACTGATAAAAAGGAAAAAAACAAAAAAAAAGAAGTAGCTGCTTAGCACTTTTAACCTTATTCTTGATCAAGGCTGTTAGCTGACTGCCTAATAACATCCCAAGATAGTATTTTCCAATTTTTGCCATGAAATGTGCTTGCCTGATGCAACCAATGATCTTTGAGAATGAATGATAGGAAATCTTCCAGTTCTGACCCATAGAAATGTGTGAATTGTGTGATAGTAATTGTTCTTCTCTCTTCCAGCAGTTTGATGCCAATTCAAGAAGACAGGCAGAACCAGCATTCATTATGTGTGTACTATGCTACTTGTTTTTTCATACATCATCTCATCAGTAACACCACAAAACCCCACAGGGCAAGTATCATTACCCTCCCTTTATATGGGGGAAGACAGAGCACATGCTTATCAGCTGATAGGTGGCAGAATCTAAACTCAAACTCACTCTTCTCAATTCAGACTCACCAGTGATGGCTCAGCCCACCAGGAGCCCTTCTGATCTGACCTACACTTATCCCATGTCTTTGCTCCCATTTTCGAATTTTCCTTGGATCGATAGCTTATGGAAAGGGCAATGTAGGAAACTCTTCTCTGTGGAAGCCAAGTCGTTTCACTGAGACTAGAGTGGGTGGAGGAGGTAGAATTGGCTTCTGCATTTAAAACTTGGAACATATTTTTTTCCATGGAAAAAAATATTATGCAGAGATCGACTATGGCTCAAAGAGTATGCAAAAGCACTTTGCAAACCATCAAGAAGTATATAATATGTCTATAAGGAATTACTATTCTGCAGTACATTAGCACTATAATTCCAACACATTGTGCATTAAATAGCCTTTTGTGAAGTAGTTTGAGAATTTAACCACTGAGTGTTATACTGTCTCAAAGGAAAAATACATTCCAATAGCCAAACAACTGACTTGCAACAGAGTTTTGGAATCTAGTCCATTCATAAACTGCAAACTGCCTGGATTAACATGAAGAGGACACATCATCACTATCTTCATTAAGTATTATTTATTAAGGATAGTGCATGGGGTGAAGACTTCAGGGTAAAAAAAAAAAAAAAGGAAAGTGTTAATCTAATTTTCAATGGCTACAATTTCACCTCCCTGCTTATGAATGTACTCGAGCTGTTCTAAACCTTACTTCTCATCTCTCTTTTCATTTGCTTTCCCATTTTACACTTATCTTTTATTCTCTTTCCTTTTTCTTTCCGCACTCCTCTTCTTATCCATATATACTCAATATTGTTTCTTGCACTAAGCACACTCTTTTCAAAGGCTGACTGTCCTCCCAGACTCCAGCCACTCCGGTGTGAACTTTGATTATTTCTCTTGTGAGCTACTCTAAACTTCTCCAAACCAGTTTCCTAACCTCTGTGTCTTCCTGCGCCATTAGTTAAAAAAAAAAAGAACACTGCTGCCAGATCAGGTTCCTCTGGCACGATACACTATGCCACTGGTACTTTTTGCTCATGGAATTTAAAAATCCTTCACATTGCATTTAGAGGCCCTACAAATCCTGGACTTGTAGCCCAGCCCTATGTAAAGCTCTCTTACTTGTATTCTCTTAGTTAGGTCAAATTGATCCTCAAGTTACCCACCCCAAACATGCTTCTTTCTTTATAATTTACTATCCTGTCTTCCTCTACAGGCTCCTGAAATCACTAGTATGTACCTCTATGCATCCTGCAACATGCCCCTCAAAAGCCAGTTACTTTCAGAGTGTCTCTCAACTATAGATCCTTTATTGCTTCTTTGGAGGAAAGAGCCAGTGTTTTTTGGACACTATATATTAGAGACAGTGTTTGGCACTTTTTATGTAGAATTCTATCAAGTGTTCACAAAGTGATTACAAAGCAGCTGCCAACTATCCCACTATTCAGGCATGGAAACCAAAAGGAAAAGGGTGTGCTTTATGTCAAAAATGGCAGAGCCGCAATTTACTCTGATATACACCTGGACTGCAAACCCATGTCCATCACTTGCCACCAAGCCTCACTGTCTCCTTCACTATTTCTTTTAAAGCAAGGACTTGAAATATGTACTTATCAGTGTCTCCATAATATCACTGATAATTTGAGGCCAGAAAATTCGTCTCAGACATCTTGTATCCTGGAGTACTTACTGCCATTCCTTGAATAGTAGAAAATTAACATGACACTGAGGGGTTAAATTTAAAAATCCTTGTATTTTTGCCATATGCAACTAACTCATCAGGAAACAACTATGGAATCATATGTCCACAGATTCATTAATACGAAGAATCAGGTATGGGATTCTTAGCAATATAATTCTCTAAAGAGATTCTGAACTTAACAGAAACTAGAATAATTGGTTATTGCTGTTTGCATCTGGCAAAGTTTGAGAAGAATGGGATAGTGAATGCCAGCAGATCCTGAAAATAATTTGCTTATTTGTTTAGTTATTCAAAATGAGCCATTTGCCAAGTTTGAAGACCTAAATACAAGACAGAGACACAAACAATGTTTATTCTCAGCCCATAATAGCTTCTAGTATCAGCTAGAATCCTCTATCAGTTAAGAAATAAAAAATGTACCTTTTTCTTTCCTTTTAGAATCTCATAGCTTATAAATCTGGGATCTGTTGGGTATGGAGAAGAGAGTTCCAAAACTGGAGATCCTCCATAAAACTCAAACCCCCGGCAACTGAGTCTTCAGATCATAGAAACAATCAGAGTTCATGTTTATTCCAATCTCAGTGGCCCAGGAAAAAGATTAAAATTTCTATTAGCTCTGAATGAGCTTCATTGTGATTCAGGTTAGGGTGCAGTTCAACCCTGTAAATTACTATGATATTTTTATTGATACCATGAAAATGTACTCGTGATTCTCTATTGTCAGAAAAGCATGTTGTTGAAACACTTAAAATGCCTTGGCACACTTTAAAAGTGCTTTTTACAATGGAGACATGAAATTAATGGTGCATTTCAGTCAACACATCCAGCACAACCCACTTTCTTTCCTCTTCCTCAAAGCCACAGAATAAAACAAAGTAGGTCCAAAGGAATCCTCTGAGCGTGACTCTAATGGTAATAACATCTTGGTACCAAGGGATGGAAATCAGGGCTACAATCTCTTCCCATTTCGTAATGTACACATGAGCAGCATTAAGCTAATTTTTTTATCATCAGATTTCACTTCTCAGTGAAGGTTTAATTACCATCTATTATGACTTCACTCTACAAGGGAGTGTGGTAGTTTACCTCCCATTTCTAGTCTCCCTGTTCTCTTGGAAGGCTCCCGACTGCTCCTTTCTCTCCCTCATCTTTCTGGGCCCCTGTTCAGAGAGCTTTAGATCCCACAAGAATTCTCACCACTCCACCAACAGGAGTTTTTTTGAACTTGCTTTATCCCAACCATGCAACAGTTTCCAGCCATCAAGCACATAATCTCAGTTGTACATTAGCCTGGAAATGCCCCCACACACTTTGAGTTATCTTATCCACAACATGTGCAAATATTACCTCATTCATCCTTGTGCCGGTTCCAGAGATTAACCCCAAAACTGTCGTGATAAATGTACAATTTAAAAAATAGTCAGTTTCCTCAAACTTTATTTTGTCAGTCTTGTTTTAAATTTCATCCTCTGTTATGACATGGCTACTAGAACTTGTCATCTTTTTTAGTTTGTCATTTCCAAACATCGGAGCCAAATATGATGTCATAAGTTCTGGTAGCACAGCTCTTATCTAAAGGAAAAAGCTTGCCTTGGGCTTTTAATAATGTTTTTATTTGTTACAATAACACAGAGAGCACAAGCTGGAAAACATTTTTAAGGGAAACTAATGATACAGATTTTAACCTTTAACCAGGAATAGTATTTTCTAAATATTTCAAAAGAAAGATGAATTCTATTCCTCGGACAGTTTAGGCATTGATTAGCAAAACTTTTTTTCAATCAGTCTTCAATATCGACCAAATCTATTAGCCAAGCCACAATTTTTTCACTTTGACCTAAGCACTGTTTGAGTATTGTGGAGGTACTTCCAAAAAGTTGAAGATTTTGTTCCTAACCAAAAGAGTTTAAACATTTAATCCTTTTTAAGGAAAAATATAAAATAGCATTAATATTCTCTCCATTTATACTTATCACCAGTTACATCATATTTAAATGCATAGATGGAAGATTATGTCATGGAAAATGTAAGGGATTTAAAAACAGAAGGCGAGGGCATGGGCCTAGTTAAAATGATATTGAGAAGATTATTTTTTTCTTCACTTATTAGAGATAATCATTTCTAACTCAAAGTGCATGGGGACCATTGAACAAAGAATGTAAAAATGCTTACAATTTCTAAAGAACTATCCTGGTGTATATTATCCTCTCTGCCAATTTTTAATCCCCACTTAAATGTTAAGCTTACCATAGTTGCTGCTGGACTCCATGTGTACTTCCTGTGTCCTCTCTCAGCAGTGGCCACACTGCACAATAATTACATCTATGTAAGTTCCCCTCCCGTAGGTCTGCAACCTTCTTCAGTTCAATGCATTTTTACATCTCGGGAGGCTGGGGCAGTCTTGGTATGCATACCTTTTGAATGATTTACCTGCTAAAAAAATACTTACCCCAATTTTTTATTAATTCATTTCCCATTTTCCTTTTTTTTTCATGAAAACCCAGGGCTCTTGTATTTACCTCATTGCTAAACTGTCTACACAAAATAATGTTAATTTTTGTTGCCTTCTAATTTTTCTTCTGCTTTTATTTTTCCACAGAATTTCTCCTGAATCACAATGAGCAAATCAGCAGTGAAACTAACGAAGTGACCACAAGTAAGAAATTTATCTCGTGTTGGTAATTAATCTTTAAGATTCATAAAATTTTGAATAGAGAACCATAGTATATCTGATTTCACTTAATAAAAATAATGTTCTCCTAAATAGTTGATTAAAATTGGTGCTCTGTGAAAATAAGCCAGATTGTCCTGTGCCTTCAAAGACCTAATAGTTTTTCAATAATTGACTGAACAAAGATATCAAAACAATCTATATTGAAGGTTTTATTAATATGTTAAAAAATGTAAGGAGGAAATTCGACTTCACAATTAAAGCCAATTTGACTTCATATTACCATCAAATAAGTGAACTAAAAAGTCCAGAAAGAGACCATCAGAGTTATATCTAGATATTGAAGGACATGAGATGCTATATTTTAGGAGCATAGCTGGTTTTTATATTTAAATCACCTGGTGAGGTGCTTAACACAAAATTTGACTGATCCATCACAAGGCCTCATAAAGGTGTTTTTAAAAAATTCTAATGTCTTTCTACCATGCAGTTAGCACTGAGATTTTCTGAAGCATCACAAGATAGAGAACACAGGAAGAGGCATAACTGGAAAACTTGGAAATGAGGACCAATCCTCTGGAAGTTAAACTCTAAACACATACTTAACTTCACTACCAGAATTCAGAAACCTAACTCCACAAGATAGAATACATTCATACACAGACTTTACTGTACCTCAGCTGGGGTTACTGATATAGCCAAGATATGATATTTTGTTAAAATGAGGTACTCATCTTCAATGAAAGCATAAGAAAGAGATTTGCTATTGGTCACTATTGACAGAACAATGACAGCACTGTCCCTACACATATATGCTCTAGTGGATGACCCATTACTTTTGGGTAAGGTGGTGTTGAAACACGTGAGTCTTAGGTTTTAAATGACCTCTATCAAAATTCTAGCTGTATAATTTGTCAGCAGTATGATCTTATATAACTCACTTAACTACTCTGATCTTCATAGACTCATCTGTAAAATAGGCTTAGCACATATTAGTGTAAACTCATGTAAACTAGCACAATGCCTGGCATGTAGTAAGAGCTCGGTGCTGAAAGATATTATAATCATTATTAGTTACTATAACTGTTAATGACATAGCAGTTGTAATTATTTAATTTACACTCCTCCTTTTGTTTTCATACTCACTAAGCAACTAATTATAATTTGCTTCCCATAAATATGGAAAACAATATAATTGTTAATGACCAGAAGGGCCTGCTCTATAAAACAGCCCGGTCTCATCATAAATTAATAATTTGGCATTATTGTTCTTAATCAGTCTTTTGTGAATAGGATTAGTGATATTTCTGAAATAAAGTTACTATACTTATTTTAACACTGAATGTTTTTCCCTAGTGTTAAAAACTAGCCCCTGGATTACAGAGATCCTACCAGAGACTTTTCACAGAGATATTGGGCCTATTCCAGGCAGTAATCTTTGTCTTTCCTATTGCCTATTTCTACAAACTGCAATACACGAGCTTAAAATTTTGTTCCATTGTATTGGTTTTTTTTAAGAACCAGATGATCACTATAAAGTAAAGATAGCAAATTAAGATTTGGAAGGACTTAGTAAATATGAAAATATAAATTCAAAGCAGTGTTTGAATAAGATATTGAATTATTGAGTTCTACTATATATCAGGCATTGTGGTAGGCCTTAAGCAAGACATAAAAGTAAGCCTTAGCCTCACTCTGATGGGAAGAAACAAATAATAAAAAATAAATAGGTTTTTGCAACATGACTTAAGTACTGTGAAGAACAACAAATTATACTAAGGGGGAGTTGGACTGATGGAGTGGGAAGACCAAGTGATATGATTTAATTATTCAATCTGAAGCATGTGAAATAAGGACCCAAGCAGACAGATACAGGAGTAAACAGAACAGCATGTACTTGGAGAAGGAAACAGGGCAGGGTTTAACATACTCATACACTATTGGTCTTTGTTTTAGGAAGAGACTAAAAACAAGATGTCATTCTAAGTATTTTATGACCATGCGGTCCTGTAGAAGAGTCAAGAAAAGACTGAGACAATGATAAAGGGACTCCAGGCTGAGCACATGACTGATAAAGCCAAGTACTGCAACTTGGAAAGCTCCCTTGATTGGAGAAGAGATGACACCCAAATAAAAACAATAATGTCTTAATCTCTCCCCCTTTCTCACAATCATTGCATTGCAATGCAATGGTCTCTGTAACAGAGACCACTGTATGCTCATTTTAGGGAGATAAAAATTGGAATATCAGGAGAATAGTACAAGCAGGAGGAAAAGTTGGGCATAAAAAGTAGAAAATGTCAACTGACTGTCACAAAGAAAAAAGAGAATTCTTGGCTACTTGGCTTTAGATGGATGTTCCCTTATACATATCCAAATTGCAAACTGTCTGAACTATATTTGAAGGCTTTGGGTGTGATTTTTTTGTTTTTTAGGAAGCCATAATTCTTACAGTCTTTGATTCTATTTGGTATAATTTTGTCTGTGCCCTTATGAGCACAATCAATACTTTTAGCCTCACGTAGATAATATCTTGTAGAATTTTATTTAATTTTGATAAGTTCAGGAGCTGTATCGGGTCATTTTCTATCATTATAACATAATGATGCTATAACGTTTGATGCTGGATAACTAATAAAAGAAGTTTATTTAGTTCACAGTTTGGGAAGCTGAAAGTTGAAATGTATGGCATAGTGTTGGCTCTGGTGAGGGCCTTCTGACAAATGATGTCATGGTAGGAGCACATGCAAGAGATAACAGAGTGAAAAAGGGAGACACAGACCAGATAAGGGTCGGTCTTGCTCTTCTAACAACCCTCACTCAAGAGCTAACTAGAATCCCAGGACAACTACATACATACCTTCCAAAGGCAGAGCTGGAAATCAAACTATATCAGAACCACAGCAGAAGTTTTTTATGAATGATGTGTAAATCATT